CTTCAATAGGGCTCTTTTCTTTGCTGTGTAGACACTTTTAAATTTAATGAAATCCCACTTGTCAATTCTTGAGATTAGTTTCTGTGACAGTAGAGCCATTTTCCAGAAAGCTCTTGCCTAAACCTGTAACTTGAAGTGCTTTTGTTTAGCAGTTTCAGAATTTCAGGTTATAGATATTCAAGTCTTTGATTAATTTTAATTGATTTCTGTAAAGACTGAGAGCTATGGTTCTGGTTTTATTTCTCTGCAACTTGATACCCTGTTTTTTCACCAACATTTATGGAAGATGATTTTTTTCTTCCAACTTACATTTTTAATAGAATTTTCAAAAATTAGGTGGCTATAGTTGTATGGGTTTATGTCTGGGTCCTCTATTCTATACTCTTGTTTTGCATGTATGTTTTTGTTCCAAAATTGTTTTTATTACTATGGCTGCGTAAGTTGTGATTTTCATTTGATTCTAGGAATTTAAAAAATTCCTCCCTGATTTCTTCAATGATCCACTGATCATGCAAGGGTGTATTAGTATTTGTGTAGTCTATAGTTTCTGTTGCTACTGATTTCTAGTTTAATCCCATTATGACCTGAGAAATACATAAATAATTTTGTGTTTGTTAAGAATCACTTTGTGACAAGGAATGGTTTATTTTAGAGACAGTTCCATGAGCTACTGAGACTGTGTATTCCATTTCTGATGGAAGGAATAGTCTGTAGGTACATTTGATTTATGGCATAGTTTAGCACTGGTTTTCTTGATTGTTAGTTTAAATGACCTATTTAAAGATGAGAGTGGGATTTTGAAGTGACTACTATCATTGTATCAGGTCCTGTAAGACCTTTTATAGTCATTGTGTTTATTTTATGAATTTAGGAACCTCACTACTCAGTGCATATATATTTACATATATTGTCTTCTTGACAGTTATTCCTTTTATTAGTATGTAATGGCCACTTCTTCTAATTTTGAAGTCTACTTTATCAGCTATCACAATAGTTACAACTAGCCTATTTTTGGCTTTTACTTGCTTGATGGATTGGAGTCTATTGTTTGACTTAGTCTGCAGATGTGTTTCTTGGAGACACGTGGTAGTTGAATTCAGCTTTAAAACTTTATTTATTTATTCAGTCTATGATATGTTGCATGGATGTAAAGGCCAGTGAACAACTTTGTGGAGTCAGATTTTTACATGGGTTCTGGAGATTGAATGTAGGTTACTAGGTTTGGACAGTGTCTTTACTCAGCAGGTAATCTTGCTGGCGCTAGCCTTTTAATCCAGTTAACCAGTTTGTCCCTGTTTGTTGGTGTTTTGGTATGTTAAACTGCCATTTAATGGTTGAGAGGCATTTCCTAATTCATGTGATTTTATTGGTTGTCTTTCCTTTTGGTTGGATTATTGCATGTTCATTAATTTCTCTTCTGTTACTGTTAGGAGCTTGCTGGTTTAGTGTGTTGACATAATGGAGTTCTTCCACGGTCTCCTTTGTTTATCTAGTCCTGTCATGAAATTTATTTATTTATTTATTTTTTGTGCTCTTGTATTAGGATTTCTTTCTCTGTGTTTGTGTGGATCCATTTAATAATCTGTTGTAGTGCTGGCTAGGAGATCATGAATTGCCGTAGTCTATGTCTGTCTTTAAATGTCCTTATTTCACTATCAGGCTCAAAAGACAGCTTCACTAGCTATCTCAGATTGCTAACAATCTTAGTTGGCAGTTATTTCTTTTCAGGAGTTGAAATATATTGTTTCATCCTTTCATGGTTTTTAGGGTTACCTTGAAATTAGCTTTTAAGATTTCAATATATTTTATTTTGAGATTTCAAATTCTTAGCATGAAATTCAAAATTATATCATTTAATTTGCCCATATTTTGGTATTTCTCTCTTTTTGTGATCAATTCTAATGTAATTATGTTGGAGTCAGAGAGCATGCTCTGTATAAGGTCAACCATTTAAAATCCATTTACTTGTTTTATGTACCATTATATAGAGTCATGGTGATTTATAAGTATACATGTATGAGCACTTTGCTTGCATGTATGCCTATATAACATGTGTGTGCCTGCTGCCAGAAGAAAGTGTCAGATCTCCTGAAGTTGGAGTTACAGATGGTTGAACTGCCATATATGTTGTGGGAATTGAACCTGGAACCCCTGCAAGAGTAACTAATGCTCTTAACCACTGAGACATTTCTCCAGCCCCTTGTAGTGATTTTTACATGTGCATCTGAAGGAAAAAAATAGACATTCTGCTACTGTTGCGTGTAGTGTTATAGAAATCTTAATTGGTTGAGACTGTTATTGAAGTTTTCTATTTTCTTCTCCTTTTCTTCTTCTTCCTTAACTCTCCTGTTTTATAGCATTTTAGACTTTTACTATGTAGCCCAGCCTACCCTTGAACTCATGGTCCTGCCTCAGGCTCTTGATTGTTGGAATTAAAAGCCAGCCACCACACTGACCTATATGTAACTTTTAAATTTTATAACACTTTACATATAATGCAAATAGTTTTTAGCCATATATGTCCATATTCTCCTTTACAACTGTTTTATTGTTGTCATACATTTAGTTCTGATGTGTTATAAACTACACAATATGCTGTTTCTTTCTTACAATTATCTTTTTCTTTTACAATTATCTTTTAAAGAAAAATGGTCTCTAATAATTATAACTGCCCAGCCCTTACATTTTTAAAAGTTTTAAAAATAGCTTTGTTTTATTTTTAATTTATGAATTTATTCAATGAACTAATACAAATACATATTTTATGACATTTGGTCACATTTATTAGAGCACTTAAGGTGCATTTCCCTCCAGAGTATATTGAGTGTCTATGAGAGCAGGTTTGATGTTATATTTATAATAATTCACTTTAAAAACACAGATGTTGGGGGTTGAAAAATGTATCAGCTGTTAAGAGCTTTTTTTTTTGCTCTTCCAGATGATCAGAGTTGCCGGAGCCTGCCAGGAGAGTTGAACAGTTCTTGAGTTGGTAGTGAGGATTGAAAGAAAATTAACCACCACTCTATACATGGGATCTGTCCAAGAGGGCTTCCAGTAGAAAACTAGTCACCAGTTCATTCCAATAATCCCTTTTTAATTTCAGAGCAAAAGCACCTCAGTACAATGAATGAATTCATGGGAAAGTCAAAACTTCTTTACCTCAACCACCTGTCTGTGTAATCCTCACACCAAAACAAGAGGTGTGAATTTGACAAGACATCCCACTTGCTGTCTCAAACAAAAGGAGGTACACTTGGCAAAACATCCAGCTTATTACTGACTCCAGATGAAGGCAAGGGTGAAAACATGTCTTTCCAGGTTCAGTAACAAAGCAGCCTGTTAGACTAGTGTCTCCCCACACAGAGTTGAGTTCTCAGGCCCACAACCGACAGCAACTCCAGCTCTGGGAGTTCCCCCTCCAACTTCTGGCATGTGCTGGCACTACACACACACACTCTCTCTCCCTCTCTCTCTCTCACACACACGGTATACACTTACATAGACACATATAGGAAAAACAAAACTTTAATGAAGAACTGAGCCTCTTATACTCTGCTTCTAGCTTTCAAATATCATGATTGGAGGGCACAAGGCTTCACAGAAATTACTGAGTTATCTTTCTGTCCATAAGTGCATCTACAGCAATTCTTCAAGGCCTCATGTTTAGAAGATCTTGGGCTCATAAAGGAGCCTGTGAAGGGGGCATAAAAAAGAGAAAAAGGGGAGGCAGAAGCTTGTAGTATTCCAGAAGACAAAGGATGGCCAGCAATGTGCAAATGGGTAAATAAATCAAAACCTTTAAAGTATCCATTGAGTTTTGTGATATTTGGAAGTTAAGTGGTGGTGTTAATGGCTAAACAAGATTTCAGTGTCCCCCCGACCCCTTCTTTCTGGCTGTCCCAGAACTTGCTCTGTAGACCAGGCTGGCCTTGAACTCAGAGATCTGCCTGCCTTTGCCTCCCAAGTGCTGGTATTAATGGCATGCTCCATCTCTGACAGGCTGAGACTTTTTTTTTTTTTTTGGAGATAGGGTTTTTTTGTGTAGCCTTGGCTGTCCTGGACTCGATTTGTAGACCAGGCTGGCCTCAAATTCACAGAGATCTGCCTGCCTCTCTGAGTGCTGGGATTACAGGTGTGTGCCACCATGCTCAGCTGAGACTGCATTCTTTTAATAAGAAAGCGAGAGATGAGGAAGAGGAAATGGGTTAGTAGGAAACCAGCAGCAGGAGACAGGTAGTTCAGGCTCCTCCCTTACTTCTTCAAACCACGTAGGGTGTGTCTCCACTACGACCAGATGCCTACTTCCTGATATCCTTGGCATTAGGGGTGGCTTTAGGGCACCCCAAGAAGAAAAAAGGTCACATTTACTCACCCAGGCCTGAGCAGGAGGCATAGCCACTTCACTCAAGCTCTGAGTGTGAGAGACGGTAAACGGTGAACAAATCGGCAGAAACTCAAGTCAAAGTCGTTCTCGGGGGATAAGCAGCAGCTATGGCACTGAAGATAATGGTTATTTTTGAAAAGGCTGCCAATCCGGTTCACTGGGCTGTTATTATTCTTCGTAAAGAAGGCCACAAGAAGAGAACCCCACTCTTACACCAGGGGCCTTCGAGAGCGGCTCCGGCAGCCTTCTTCCTGGAAATTATGTGCGAGCAGATTCTGGAGGCCCAGCTGCACTTTCCTCTCTTCCCCGGGAAATGTGCTCTCCTTCGCAGGACTTCACCATCACAACCCCTTCCGAGGACGGCTCTAGGCCTGGGTGGTCACAGCCTCCGGAAGCCTCAGCGTCCGACTTCCGGTGAGGGAGACCCGCCGCGCGGCGCGCGGGGTCCGGGTTCCCACCGGGCAGCGCTCCGCGTTCTCAAGGTTCCGCCGAGGAACCGGGGCGCTCGCGTCCCAGGCGGTTGCTTGCCGGCGCGCTCCAGGCGCAGCATTGCGGCCCTGGACGTCGGTGGTGCGGTGCCCGGGGGGTCGGGGAGGCCGCCGTCTCCCGCTGGGCGATGCTGCGCTGGCTGCAGGACTTCTTGTCGCCCCCCGAGGTCTGGCAGAGTGATTATGACTACGTGGCCTATCAGATCCTCTTCGACGACTTGGACCACAATAAGGATGGCGTGCTGGACGTCCTGGAGCTCGCTGAAGGCCTGAAAAACTGGAGCTCCTCCTTTGGCGTGGACCCCGAGAAGGTGAGCCGCCCCCCCACCCCCCACCCCAGAGAGTACGTGGCCCTGGGGATGGTGGAAAGACGTTGCCTAGAGCTGGGAGCCAACACAACGCGCTGCCCTTTCTAGAATTTTCCAGAGCTTGTGGAGTAGGAGTGGAATTCCCTTTTGTGGGATTCTTCACGCAGAAGAACATAGCCCATTGAAACATGTTGTCAACGTTCTCAAAATAGTCATTCTCTGTAGTAAGAAGACCGCCTGAGGTTTTGAAGAAGATTCTGAGGTTCTGAACATTTCCTGCCCATAAGGGTCACGACCGTTAACCTTTGTCCAAAGTAAACCTGTTTTTCTCAAGAGGCTTTCCGCCTAGGGAGACTTGCCTCAGCATCTTATACAAGCTGTGCACAGCCGAGTAGCCCTGAACTGGTGTCTTTCTGACGTAATGGTGCACAAATCTAAGCTGAGTCAACAGACTTAATTTACTGCTGTCTTTCATAACCTAGGATTGCCTTTCTTTTCTAAAATGGCCACCACCCTTGTGGCCCCTTTGTGTAGGTACTTTAAGTTAAACACACAAATGTAAAGATTTGCAGCTCTGATCTACGTGTGAGAGAGAATAATCTTTCTGGTCAGAGTTAATTTTTTTTGTTTTTTGTTTTTTGTTTTTTTTTAGTTCAATCTATTTACCTGCATAGTTCATGAGTTCGTTTTTCTTTACAGCTGAATAAAATTCAGTTGTATATGAATACCACATTTTCATTTTCCATTTATCAGTTTATGGACATCTAGGCTGTTTTCATTTCCTCATTATTTTGAACAGAGAAGCAATGGACATAGCCAAACAAATATCTCTGTGGTATAAGGATCTAAAGTCCTTTGGGGATCTCTGCCTGTGAGTAGTACAGTTGAATCATATGATAGATCTGTTTCTAGCTTTTTGAGGACCTTTTCCTGATACTGATTTCCATCCTGGTTGCTTAAGTTTTCACTCTCACTAATAACAGATGAGGGTTCCCTTTTCCTCTCACTGTCACCAGCAATTATTACTTGCTTTCTTGATGACAGTCATTCTGACTGGGGTACAATGAAATCTCAATGTCATTTTAATTTCCATTTACTTGATTGCTAAAGGTGTTAAACATGAACGGTTTCTTAGCTATTTGCATTTCTTCTTTTGAGAACTCTCTGTTCAGTTCATTAACCTATATTTATTTATTTTTTTGTTTTCTTGAGTTCTTTGTATATTCTAGACACTGATCTTCTAGAGCTGGCAAATTATATAAATATATATTTCTGTAGGCTGCTTCTTTAGTTAACAGTTTGCAGTAGAGAAACCTTTTAATTTCATTAAGTCCATTTGCTCTGTTTCCTTCCTGAGGAATCCTATTCAGAAAGTCCTAACTCTTGCCTGCATCTTAAGTGTATTCCCTGCTCTGGCCTCTAGAAGTTTCAATTTCATGTCTGACATTGAGATCTTTGCCCCACTTGGAATTGCTTTTTGTGTAGGCTGAGCGATAAAGATCAAATTAAATTCATTTACGTATCTATTGGAAGTGCTGATTTTACAAGACCTGGTTCTGCAGAGCTTAAAACCAAGTAACCAGTGAATATTCTCCCGCAGGTCTTGCAAACTGGCCAATTTTCAGTTTCAGTATTTTGGTACTGTGATGTCAGCTTTAAGAAACTTAGTCATGTGCACCTCGAAGCCTGCAATCCACTGCATGTCAGAATATGCTGGCCTGTTTCTCTTCCTACTTGGTGATATGAAATTAAGCTAAGTGCTCTTATTCAAGGAAGGTGCATCATGTCCGAGAAATTGAATCCTTTATATGTTCTTTCACCTAAAAGCTATTATGTCTTCTACTTGGTAATTCCTAAATGTCCGATGCAGGCATGAACTTAGAATATCTCATTGTAATATCATTTCAGGATAATTTCACATGTTTGGATAGTCGATGGCTCAATAGCTTTGGATCTAAGACTGTACAGAATCACAGAGCCCATAGACAAGCAAAATGGAGACCCTAGATTGGCACTGTGTGGTTTTCTGGTTGCTGCCAGACTGCACAGAGTCCTGGATCCCCAATTCTTCAGTAATCCTTAATTCCTTGTGTTGTTGCTTATGTGTTTAAGGAGGCAGTTCATTCGTTTGGCCTGTGTATTTTTATATAATGTCATGATTATACATCCACTATTTAGTTTACTTAGCCTATGATTCTGGAAGGGCCAAGTAATGATTGGGGAAGTAGAGCTTGTTGCATGGTCTCTGCTAATTGGCTGGGCTGCTGACTTGCTCATATACTGAGTAGTGCTTCTGGCTACATACTTATGTGGCTTCTGGGGCAGGAGAGATGGCTCAGTTAAGAGTACTGACTGCTCTTCCAGAGGACCTGGGTTCAATTACCAGCAACCACATGGCAGCTCACAACTGTCTGAAGCTCCAAGAGGTGACATTCTCAAACAGACATACATGCAGGCAAAACACCAATGCTCTTAAAATGAAAAGAAATAAATTATTTAAAAAGTATTTTAAGTGTTTTCTGTTCCAATTGCCTTATAGCACATATTCTCTGAAAGAGAAATTTGATGACAGCTGGACAGAGTCTTAGACTGGTTTCTAGATTCAGGATTAGTTATTTCTTGGAACAGGTGAGATCAGAGACTGTTTCTTAGAATTGGACCATGAGTATTGTCTAACTAGAGCTATAGGTTTGGACTTTGGGGGGTAGTATTTGTTTGTCATATTAGTTCAGGGAAATTGAGCTACTCTGCTTTTCCAAAATGCATGTGTGTTGGTCTCTTCTTTGGTCTCTCATGTGGCAGGCATGTTGGATGAATGAAGCTACTTTAACTTTCTGGGTCCAACAAATCTAGTCTCTATGCTTCTTTGTAATGGATGGAGGTGAGCAACTCCTTGTCTGGATAATTATTGTTGGGGTATGTGTGACCTGAGGCTGTCTGTATAAACTAACATTTGTGTAGAGTAGGTTTTGATCCCTTGTGGGGGGTCACATATCAGATCTTTACATTAAGATTCATAACAATATCAAAATTGCAGTTACGGAGTATCAACAAATTGATTTTATGGTTGGCAGTCTGCACAACACGAGGAACTGTATTAAAGGGTCACAACATTAGGAAGGTTGAGGACCACTGATATAGAGTCAAGTTAGGTTAAGCTTCATACTATGTTTCTGAGGGTAGCAAGCTCAGTTTTACAAGTGGCCAAAAAGCTAGCTAATGTCTCTGATTGGGTACCACTCCTAGCAGGACAGTGGGATGGTATCAAGACTTACGTATCAGTCATTATACTCTTTGGCCCACCTGTCCTTTTGGTTCCTGTCTGATTGCAAGTAGTCAACCATATTGCTACCCTCAGTGGCCCATGTGCAATAAGACGTGGCTGGGCTGCCCAGCAGTTGTGTTGGAATACTAGGGAAGCTGCCTCTGGTTGTCTTTTGTTTTGTAGGGGATTGGCCCCAAAGAGATTCTATCCTGTCTCGTACTGACTTCAGGGAGTGGGGAGAGGCATCATGCTTTAATTGTCTTGTTGTTCTTGCTTTTATCCCTAGAAGGAGCCCAAGACTTTTTGTTCTTTGATATTGTTAGCATGACTCTTAAAAATTTATTTTAAAAATGAAACTATATCTCTGCCATAGGTGGAAAACTAGTTGATTATAAATAAGCATAAATGGACACTTGAAAGGTTGGTATTTTAGGTTTAAATCCTATATTTCCTGGTGAAGTTGAGACATCCACTCTGGTGTGTTTTTCTTTAAGAAGTCAGCAAGTTTTGAGGCATGTTAGAACACTACAGATGTTTCCCATGTAGTCAGGAGTGAATGAGGCTTGAAACAAAGACTGATTTTCTCCACCTGGGATTTAATGTTGTTTAATGCTGTTTCCATGTGGGCACAATATGTGCCCTGCTTATTGAGAAGTAACAATGTGATCCATTAATTTGAGATAATTTTTACAGCATATAAATCTCTTCAAGAGTTCTCCCTTCTTTACCTAATCTTCTGTTTTTCCTTCATGCATTTTTGTCTTTAGCAAATTGAATAGAGATGAAATGAACTCATATCATAACTTGCTTAGAACTCTATGTTCAATAATCTTGGTTGTTATTATCAGCATTATTAATGCTGTTTTTATAATTAACTAATCTACTGCCATGCAACTATTTCACATATTATTAAAATATCCACTCCTGTTTATCTGTCTAGCAAATGTTTTTCTGTATGAATCTCAGCTCAGCAGCTGTCCTCTATGAAACTGCTCTAGAGTCTTTCAGGATTTTTACCTCATTTAAATCTGAAAGCTTACTGTACTTTGAATTCCTTGCATTTTATTTCACCTAATATATTGCCTTTGGTTATGTGATTTATTTCCGGTAGTCTATAATTTGCTTCATACTGGAGAATGTATCTCTCTCTTTTTCTCTCTCCTTTCTTTCTTTCTTTCTTTCTTTCTTTCTTTCTTTCTTTCTTTCTCTCTCTCTCTCTTTCTCTCTCTCTTTCTTTCTCTCTCTTTCTTTCT